ATGTTTAGGGATGCAGATGAAACCCCGAGATTTGTTCGTGTGGAAGTCATCCTGAATAGTGCTGTTTTTTGTGTAACATTTACGGATGCTGAATACTACCCGCCACCTATTCGGATAGAAAATCAATCTGATGCGAGTTATAGTTGGAGTATGATCAAGTATCGATGAACTGATCAAATCATCAATTTGATTTATTTAGGTACCTGTTTTATACCAGCAGCAATCAGAAGGTCCCATAGGACAGCATCTTAGAACTATCTGCAAAGCACGAAGTCATATTGATTATGCATGGGATGATTTGTACGGAAGCCGAAGGATTGTTTTGCAAGTAAATTCTATTAAACTAGAATTCTTTATTTACTTTTTGAAGTTCTATCTTTTTATTAAAAATTTATTCTTATCGAAAAGATTGTTACCATTCATTATTATTTTTCGGTTTTAGTTTTTGTGCATAATATCATCCGATTATTTTCTGAGTATGGAAAATCTGAACGATTCTTAATACAAAAAGAGGATTTATGACTTGCTGAGCTGTATTCCGTTATCAATTCTACGGATGTACTTTACTTGCTTTGTACAGGCTCATCCATTTAATATTTAGGTCTACGAGAACAAAAGCCATGTTTACGATCCATCGGTGAAAGGCATAGGACCACAACTTGTATATGAGAATCACATGTATATCCAACTAGCTGCCTCATTTAATAGGTACAGATAGTTTTAATAAGTATAGGTCATATGCTTAGACAGCAAGTAAATATGTGACTAATTTTTCTGTTTAGTGCTTTAATCTCAAAAAGAACGGAAGAGAACGAACTTGTTTTGGAAACATTACAGAAAGGAAAAGTTATTCTCAATAAGCAGAATAGGATGGATGCCAAGTAAGTCTATCCTTCCTAGATCACCTTATGAGTTGTTCATTTTGATTTATCACACTTTTACAGCAGCGGCAACCAGCTTTGGATTTTGTGCAATGACGGATGCATAGAAAATGTTGGCATGAACTTCAGATCTAGAACAAGAATGGTCAGTCATGCATTGACGTTTTGCAGTATATGAGCAGATTGCAGAAGCAATGCTTAAGGCGGTTCAAAACCCTTTTTTTTCTTGTTTTAAAACTTTGGAGTTACGCTGTTAACCTTGTGAACTCTAGTTGTCTTCAAAGTTGTCCTCTAGTTATCTTGTATGGTGGTCGGAGATCTACTTTCAGGTGCTAGATGTATTGGAACGCATGGGTTTCCAATTAATGATGACACCTCGACAGTCGTCACGAGACAAGTA